CGAATGTATCAAAGACAATTTTTCAGTTTTCTTTCTAGATACTTCTTTATATAGTTGGTAAATTTTTGCTTTATTGCATATCTCACACTCTATGTAAGATATATTCGAACGTAAATTCATACCGCTGACCATTTCGCGCGAGTATAGTTTCTTTAAATCGGTTATATTTAGTGACCTAAACGTTGATGCCACCTCATAGTATTATCATCTTTACGATTCATACGTATTACGCGACGTTTATTCTGATTTACTTTATATAATTGTCCGTGCTTTGTTGCTGTCAATATAACTGAACCGTCCGCGCATTTCACTGCCGCATTGTTTCGACCAAAGTTTACTTGATAGCCTTTATTCGTAGCAGAAATGGACAGTAAATTGTTTCTTAATTTCAGCACGTAAATAACGTCTTTCATTTCTAGAGGATAACAACATAGACATAGCCATAGTTACCGAAACCATTGAGAACACTCCAGAACCAGCAATGTCCAATATAGAAACCAAAACAAAACAAAAACCAAGCAAACTTCACGAATAGGAGTAGCATACCACTCTCGAAAATAGGATAATGACAACGGAACTAAACCAAATCACTACCCTAAACGGAGCAAGATATCGTATCATATGTAGCGACTTTAAAGCGAAGCACCAACTATAGAATAACCTAAACAAAAACGTCAATGAAGTTACAGTCAAAATGACGCCAGAAGCTACTAGACATCCTACACAGCCCTACGCACAGGCAATCAAACTGTAGATCCTCAAATATAGACATATTCCTGTCCAACATACCGTATTGAGAACTATGACCCTAAGCAAGAACATAAAGCACCGAAGGAAAATCGAACACACTAATCTATACAGAAGAAACTTCAACTCGATAAAAATTAATCAAAACATAAACACCATAAAGGAAGTAGATACACAGATAAAGAAACTCCAGCAAATCATACAAAATTTCTACTATACAACCACTCGCAACACAAACATCCCAAAGCCCGCTAGCATAACGGACATTTTCCTGAAATCTAATAAAGCACAAGAACAGACATAGAAGAAAACCAGTACTACACTGCAGTCTATTCACGGCACAAATACAAAAAAGAATCACAGAGTTAAGAACTAAAAATTGGTAACACTAGAAAACATAAAAACTAGAGACCACAGGCCCTGGTAAATGTACAAGATTAAAGAACAACAAATTACCGGACCTGATAGATAATAATACGTAAGAAATACACGAACGCTGAAAAAGCGTAGGCATTAGCAGTTGTTTTCGAGGCAACACACAATAACGCATTTAATACACTTTCCTCTCTGGATGAAGAAGTAACGGTACACGTTAGCAATATCATAGAAATCATCTTGAGATA